ATATCTACAATATGATAACGTTCTTCGTGAACTACTCGACTTACATGCACCACAGCGTAGGCGTTATGTGACCCTCCGTCCTCACGCTCCCTGGTTTGACGACGCACTGCGAGAGGCTAAATTACAAAAGCGGCGACTTGAACGTAAATGGCGGTGCACTGGATTGGAAGTTGACCGTCAACTTTATCGYGATTACTGTGCTACTTATCACCGACTCCTTGTTGATGCTAAAACTAACTACCACAATAATAAACTGAACAACCTTAACGAGCAAGATCTCTTTAAGGAAGTTGACAGGTTAGTTAATGGTAGACGGCCTCAAACTCTACCCAACAACATTGACAARTGTGACCTACCATCTTCGTTTGGCAACTACTTMAAGGAAAAAGTTGATAACTTAAGGAAATCCACTCCCACCACCGACTCTGGATTGTCTAGCATGCATCATTCTGAACCTGACTGTCTTGAACGTTTGACTGAATTTACTCTGCTCAATTCTGACGAAATCCGTTCTATCATTGTAAACTCTCCCACTAAATCGTGCAGTTTGGACCCTATTCCCACTTTTTTAATTAAAGGATGCATCGATGTCCTTCTGCCAGCCATCTTGGACATCATCAACGACTCTATAGCTTCTGGACTTATTCCTGATGCTTTCAAGTCTGCTGTGGTTACGCCCATCATAAAGAAGCCTAACCTCGACCCGAACATTCTTAGTAACTACAGGCCCATATCTAATCTACCTTTTATTTCTAAGATCCTTGAGCGTGCTGTACTTCCTCAGTTGTTGTCCCATCTTCATAAGAACAATCTCTACCCTGAGCTTCAATCAGCCTATCGTCGTTACCACAGTACTGAGACAGCACTCCTCAGGGTGCATAACGATCTTCTCAGAGCTGTAGATGATGGTAACGAAGCATTGGTGACACTTCTTGACTTTTCTTCAGCCTTTGATACGATCGACCACAGTATTCTTCTTCAACGTCTCGAACAGCGTTTTGGTATCTCTGGCACTGTTATCTCGTGGTTCCGCTCATACTTTGACAACCGGACGCAACGTGTTGGCATTGGTGGWAACTTDTCAGCTCCTTATGACCTGGATTCTGGGGTRCCCCAGGGTTCTGTCCTTGGACCTGTTCTCTTCTGTCTCTACGTCTCCCCGCTGGAGRAAATTTTTGCWTCMCATGGYATTTCTGCCATGATGTACGCAGATGACACTCAGCTCTACACTATTATAAAGAAAAAGCAGCACGATGCACTCATCTTTCAACTTGAAAACTGTCTGAATGATATCAAGACATGGTGTGATAATAACAGACTCACCTTAAATCATGGAAAGACTGAGGTCATGCACATTCACTCGAAGTTCTCTCGATCTATCTCCGTCTCACCTGATATCCACATTGGGGATTCAATCGTTAAACCTAAACCTGAGACACGTAACCTAGGAGTGTTGTTTGATTCATCTCTTTATTTCAAGCAGCAAATCAACAACTGCTGCAA